AGTGTATCGGAAGTTTTATTTCTTGGATTATACTGGGTAGACGCGGGAAGTCAGGAGTGTATATTTCGGTGTTTTCTTTCGATTTTTTTTGAAATTGTACTTTATGATAATAGCTGATAATTTGTTTACGAAGTAAGTTGGTGTTTCGTTAAAATAAATTTTTTTCGTGTTTGTTAATATTGGGGGCTTTTCAGAACCTTTTCAAATAGTCTAAAAATAAAATTATATGAAAATTCATTCGTTTAGAATATTTAGATAATCTATGTTCTCCAAGAGAGCTCGATATAAAATCAAAAATATTGAAATTGTGTTTCTATTGAATATCAAATGCACAACAATTGTTTTGACCAAGTGAGATTGTTTTTTTTGTAAATAAAATTTGTTGCTCGCCCATAACAATGTCTGCAAAAGACAGTTTGTGTAACACTTTGATCGAACCACCCTGTACATAATGGTCAGTTGCAAGCCAGTGTATTTGTTCGTGGAGACGTTGGCGAGTGCAGATGGATTTTATGATTTAGGTTCAGGAATGTGAAAGAACGAGTCACATTGCAATTTCATTCTTACGCGCCACGGACATTAAACATCCCCCAAGCGCAGTCGAACAAAGTTGTTCATTAATAATAAGTCTTTCTCGGTGGTGCAAGAATGAACCACGACGAATTATCGCAAAGTACAATGAGAGCCCAGGATGACGCAGAGATTAATACCGAGAAAATGTGAGCAGCAAGAAAGAAGAAATGGATCACGTCATAAATCGAAAGTTTCTGCGATGCGCTTTGATTAGAATTTTTAAAGACTGGAAAATTTATGTTTTTAATATTATATTATCTTTACGACCAATTATATTAGTTCGTTAAGTACAAGAATTCGATTAGAGTCAAGAACGAAGGAACGACAATCATTTATTCATTTGGAAGATTAAAAAATGTCAAAAGAATTTGCAAGATTCTACAGTAGGCTAATTTATTTTATATGAAAATCATTGACGCAGCAAATGGATCTAGAAAATGTTTATAGATTGAGAGACTCGAGATTTGTTCAATATCAAAATTCGATTAAATTCGAGAAAGAAGGGATGACAAACATCCATTTATTTTGGAAGATTAAAAAATCTCAAAAGAATTTGGAAGATTTTATAATAACCTAATTTATTTTATATAAAAATTATTGACACAGAAAAAGGATCTAGAAAATGTTTATAGATTGAGAGACTCGAGATTTGTTCAATATCAAAATTCGATTAAATTCGAGAAAGAAGGGATGACAAACATCCATTTATTTTGAAGATTAAAGATTAAAAAATTCCAAAAGAATTGGCAAGATCCTACAGTAACCTTATTTATTTTATACAAAAATTATTGACACAGAAAATGGATGCAGAAAATGTTTATAGATTGATAGACTTGAGATTTGTTCAATGTAAGAATTCGATCAGATTCAAGAAAGAAGGAATGATAAATATCCATTTCTTTGAAAGATTAAAATATGTCAAAAGAATTTGCAAGATTCTACAGTAAGCTGATTTATTTTATATAAAAATTATTGACGCAGGAAATTGATCTAGAAAATGTTTACAGATTGATGGACTCGAGATTTGTTCAATATAAGAATTCGATTAGATTCGAGAAAGAAGGGATGACAAACATTCATGTATTTTGAAGATTAATAAATGACAAAAGAATTTACAAGACAAATTTACAGATTCTAGAATAACCTAATTTATTTTATGAAAAAAGTACCGACAAAGAAAATGGATTTTCCAGAAAATATCCATAGACTGGAGAATTCGATTATGTTGTAGAACGAAGGACGAAAATGTCTGCACGAAGGAATTCGAAAGGGATAGTCCCGTGGAATCAGCGCGTCAGGGAAGAAAATTTAACAGTGAGCATCGGATCGAAGGTCGTGCAAACGAGGGAAGAATCCACGAAATTATAGATAGCGTATAACCGCGAGTTTGTTCATGATTTCACGTTGGGAATACTGCCGCGGTGCGCCGTAGTGTAATTATCCAATTACAAGACGTACAGCTGAATCCATTATGCATGACTACCTATCCCCCTTTTGCTATGGAGGCACTCTGTTCGCCATTAATTTCCACTGCGTTCTCTACGTACGATTTCAAGAGACAGAGATCGTCTCGATACACGTATCGAGACCACGGGTTTCTGCCGCACAAAGTAGACCGTTACCCTTCGGACTTTTGCATTGCAAAATTGCGGCTAGTCTCATCCCGTGGATCGTGACCATTATCGAGTTGAGCCTCAAACGGCCGTTCGAGACATTAACAGAGAGTTATCGCCGCCATCCTTAACCGACGGGGACCGTTAACGAAGTTGCAAAGCTTTTGGAAATTATTCCCCGGGTAAATAAATCGGAAAAATATCTTTACACCAAATTATTCGCGAACTATTATGACTAATATTCCTTTCGGGTCCTTTTCTTCATTAATAATGTAACTAATAGAATAAACTTTACTTAAAGAAAAGAATTATCAACGAAAACTGACCGAATCCTTTGTAGGAATTATTAATCTTTCATGTGTTTTTTATTCTATTTTTTCTTTAAACGTCAACGCTAATCGTACATCATTTTTAACTCCACTATTAACCTCACATTCTCAAGTATTTACTATATTATATTTATATTTTTTGCATTAACTATGTCACTTGAAACAATTACGGAAAATCAAAGACAACATAATTTTATTCACACAGAGTGAAGCGAAAGAACATTTCCTAATGGTTATATAACAAATGAAACCTCTAAATATTATTTTGTATTTTTCAAATTTAAGTTTCGAAACAAGCTATTTAAGAGAATCGAAAGAATTCGTAACGGGAGAGATCGGTCGAATACAAATTAATTTCCGAGCGCGTCTCGAACAGAAGGCAAGATTATTCAGGTGATATGTATTACCCGAACGTAACGTCCCATAAATATTCGTAATCTCTGGATTTACGTCCGGTATTATCGCTAGACAAGGGAATTTTATATTTGCGTCAATAGGAGTTTTACTTATCTCCGTCGACCGCTCAAAAGCCAACGGTCGAGAGGGACGTGAATCTACATCTTGCATTCCGTTCGCGAAACGGACGAGGTACGGTAATAAGAATTAAGTACCGTTTCGAAACAAGGAAGGAGAAGAAAAAAAAAAAAGGAGGAGATTCCCCGAGCGAAATCAAAGTAAAACGAAGAGCCAAGAGTCCCTCTCTCGGTTTTGCTAATCTCTTTCGAGACAAATGGCCGTTTCTAACATTGAAAGCGTGTATTTGCATTCATGCTCGGGACTGAAATGTCGACGATTCTTGACGTAGCTTTTAAGACTGGTCGTGGCCGGGGCTCGGTAACGGTCCATTCAATGGCGAAGAAATCCGCGATCGCGACTAAAACGATGTATACCAACGATGCCACGAAAGGTGTATCGGGGAGAATCCCGGTTCCCGTTAAGCGGCTGCAAACCGTATTATTACGCCAGTTGCTTACTCATGCCGTCCCTCTTGTACCCCTTTCAGTCGCGGATTACGAGGAAAGAACGTGGACGCACACAGATTTCCAGGAAATTCACTTTCACCGGACCTTGTCCGCGAGTGTTTCTCAAGTGACTCGCGCCATTAGTTTCTTTATCGAACGAGCCCACGGCTTCTGTCTCTTCTTTTTCCTACTTACAACAGGAACAAAACCCGCCACTCGTTGAACCGATCCAAGGAGATAAAGGTACTTGTGTGAATCGAAATAGTACATTTTATATAAAAAAAATGAAGCATATTTTAGTTCGAGTACGGTCAGTCAGATCAAAATGAAGACTTTGCAGATTTAAATTTCTTAATATTCATTTCATTCTTCAGAGGCGATTTTCTGTAATTGTTTCAAGTATAGTTTGTGTAAAAAATTTGGAGTACTTGAGAATGTTAGTATTGGAATTAAAAATGGTGCACGATTAGCGATTGTTGTATCGATACGTTCACGAAGAATGTAATTAATTTTGTTAACGATGTTTGAATTTCATAATCTGCGAGCACCCACGATTCCATTCTCCGCGAATAAAAGGTTTTAGCGGAGATAAAGCGAAAAACGAAATCTGTTGTAAATTCTTGGGAGGACACGAGATAACCTCTTTGAAAAATGTTAGCGACGACGACATCGGAGATAACGAGAGTAGAGTACATGGTAATCATCAACATAGTGGTTCATTGAAGACACCATTTTTGCAACTGTTTACATTGTTAATTAGACACGAATCTATATTTCGTTTAACCCTCGATTTATTTTCGATATTTTTTTAACGTAATAATACTTGAACAACTTTTGCAATATTAATTTTTTTCTTTAATTGTGAAATTCTCTTCAGTCACATACTACAAATATTATTATTTAGAGGACACTCACTGTGTGATTATTCAATTTTTCGTGTCAAGAAATAATTCTAAAAATCAATGATTGCAATATTCTATATGTGTATCTATGCACACGTTTCGACTAAATTTTTAAAAATCTACAGGTAATTTAAAAAAATTGTACAACTTCTATTCCATAATATTATCTTTTTCAGACCATCAAAGTATGACTCTCACTTTCTTTCTTTTTTTTTGAAATATTTCAAACGAAATGAACAAAGAAGAAAATTTCGAACAAAGCTCGAATTAGCAGCGAGTCTCGAAAAGAAGTGGCTGTCAGGATGAGATCGAGTGAAATTAATCAACCGCAGAGGTCCGTCGTCGCCATCAATCTAAGACGCCGTTCGTCAGCGGCAATCATCCTGCCCGCGACCGTTTCCACCGGTAATTTATTAAAACACCACGAAATTCCATCGACTAATTGCTTCGTTAAAACCGAGCCGCAGCCCGCGAATAATCGTCGCTCGAGGAACGTTGCGTAACGGTACACGTCGAAAGCGCGACTTACGCGCTCGCCGGTTTTAACGAGCCCCGTGAGCCCCGTGATCGACAGAGGCCGAGGGGCGTTGAAAATTTTCGGTGGATCGCGACCGTACTCACCTGAGGTGCTCTCTGACAGAATTCTTCCTCCGTGAGCGAAGTCAACGTAGCGCCGTCCACGTTGAAGCTCTCCAATGGCACCGAGGGCAACTGCAATTGCCTCCTGGCCCATTGTATCCAAGCTGCTACGTCCGCCGCGCTCCAGCGTCGCGGTTCTGCAATAACACCATCGTTTTCTCGTTAATACCGTACTTCCTGTCTGGGGTTCACCGAGTCTTTTCACCGAATTCGCGAATATCGAACAACCTTGCACGGGGAGACCAAAAGAAGACTTTAAATTCCTCCACTCAGTGATCTGAGCTGCGGCCATTTTGGTCCACAAATCGATCCTTCGATTCTTGTATTTTAGTACATTTTTTTAGATATTTCTGTGATTAGATATGGTGGTTTGAAAATAAAGTTTCGAAATTGGAATCGCGATATTTTTAAGTATTCAAATTTATCCATAGTGGTCTGAGAAGCGGCCATTTTGGTCCACAAATCGATCCTTCGATTCTTGTATTTTAACAAATATTTTTAGACAACTCTACGATTCGATACGGTGGTTTACAAATAAAATTTCGAAATTGGAATTATAATTTCTGGTAAGCCTAGTACAGGTGATAAAAAGGAGGCTTTTTATACGTAATAATTTTAATCGCCCAAGCTTTCAGGAGATGTGAATACTAAAAATGTGATTGTATCATTTAAATAAATTAGAACTTGTTGCGTTTGGCTACACAGTGATCCAATTTCTACCAATCAACAAGGTGATTTGTTTTCTTCTATATTTTAATTAATCTTCCGATCGCAAGTCGTGGTTCGGTTTGCGTAAATCGTATTCCAATTTCGTCATCGATACGAGTCGAAGATCGCGTAAATCGAAGCCTAGGTTTAGTCATCGTGACGCGTTCGCGAACGAAAGTGTTGGAAAACTGGCGGAAGCACGACGCGACCTTGAACAAAGTCTCGAAATTTCGTAACTCCGCATGAAAGCAAGCTGGCGACTTCGTAACTTATTCCGAGCGTTCATTATGGTACGAAGTAATAGTCGAACCGGTCGCTCCTACGTCCACGAAGATAACGTCAAAGTCTCGCCCGCGGCAAGGTAGCAAGAAGACCTAAGTGTCTAATGGACACTCACGCACCTTCTTATTACTAAGAAATGGTACACCTCTAGAATTTATTTGTTTATTATGCCACGGTAGGTGGAGTGGTCGTTAAGTTCTCTAACGGTGACGAGCATTTCTTTTTTTTTAGCTTTTAAGAGACGGTGCAACGTACTATGTGATTTTGGATCGAACGAGCGCCTTTTAAAATTTAATTACGCTTTGGCGAATTTCTGAACGTTCGATGTTAGAATTGAAGCAAAGTGTTTCGAGTTGCTCGTACAAAATGTCAACTTTTACTCCACACTTTTCTGCTGGTTAATTTCAATCTTACCAGAGTGTGACTTTGGGCACTAAATTTTAATAACTTTAGGGTCTGTGTGATTTTATAAATTAATAATACGTAAAATATCGTCGATATAAACTCATATAATAAATAATATTTTTATTTCGTTTACTGCTAGTTTAGGAACCATTTTTAAATATTTAAATTCAGCAGGATTTGAATCAACTTTGAACAATAAATTGTATCAAAATATTTGATTTACTTTTCAAGAATGGAACTTTTTTGTTTTTAATTTGTTATCCTGTTTATCGTTTAATTTTTCGACTTCTATTTTTATTGATCCTAGAATTTTTATTTTCTGGTTCTGTGAAACGCTACGCACTCAAGCTTGGTATGTGACCCGAGCCACATCCCGGTAGATTTAGGGTTAAAAGGACCTGAATATTCCTAGAACCGACCGCGCTGGATGTCGAGGCTGACTCCTCAAGGTGACGTTTTACGATTTGTATTGTTCGACGATTCAAAGGGTACAACGTCCCATCGAAAGTATCGTTCATACTGGCATCTCGTAAACGTCTCGACTGCTGAATAATACACGGAATTTTCCCCGGTATAAAAAATCACCTCCTCTATTCCTCGCAGCCATTTTGAACAGTTGTACCGATTAAAAAATATATTAACAGGTTATAAGATAAATCTACCTACTTCACAAATAAAAATCTCGACAATTATTATCCACATAGAGCACTGTTATTTTTAAAATGAATTTAGCACGAATAATAATAATGTCAAAGTGATATAATAAGTAACAGAATTAGTGGCATTAAAAAATATTTTTACAGTGAATATTCCAAGCATTAAAGATTATTATGTCGAAGGAGTATGTGAGATCTAGTGGACTCTACATATCCCCAAAGTTTCAGAATTTTCTAAACGTCCAGATCGTACTAATAAACTCGTGTCGAACAAGAGGCACGTTTTTCAACGAAAACTGAAAAGAAACGAGTGTTGCTCACCTGGATGGATTCCCAGCGCCACGCAGGTATTATCAAAGTCTTTCTGCAGCTGCTGGATAGCCAGACTGAGGACGGGCTCGATCTGTTCTCTGGTCAGGTCCCCGACGCACTCACCGGGTTCCATGTCTTCCACGAACCCGGTCCCGACGCTACCAAGATCCACGGGTCTCAGATTGTACTTCCTTTGAAAGCTGGTGTCCCTCAGAACCTCCCTCAGCAACTGATGATCGCTCTTTTGGCCGTCCTTGAAAAGCTCCTCCTCCTTCTGCAGAGGATTGCTAACCTCGTCCTGTATTCTCTCGAGTTTCAGGACATTTGTTCTCGCGACGTCCGCGAAATCCTTTCGAGCGCCCTTGAAGAGCAAGCTCCTCAGCGGCGAACTGTTCTCGAGCTCTATCGGATCGGGGGAGGAGGATGTCGTTGATGAAGAAGACGACAACGAAGAGGAATTGCTGCTGACGCTGCTGCTGCTGCTGCTGCAATTGGACCGAGGCTCTTCTTTGAAGAGGATTTCCTTCAGCAACGGGTGTCCTTGCACTCCGGCATCTTCTTTCTTAGCGAAGAAATCCGCGTCAAGGCTGTTGTAAATGTCCTCCTCCGTTCTGGGCGGCGTGCACGGCACTGTGCAATCGGTCGAATCCTCCCTGTACCCCAGACTCTCGGCCAGCAGTCTGAAACCAAAGTTACAGGAAGGGTGCGTGTCATTGGAGGGCTTATTATCACAATTTGATTATCGTCGATGCTTAGATTTCCAGATGAAAGGGTCCCCTAGCTTTGGGACTCAAAAAGAAAGGCAACTTTAAATTCAAGATCATTTCAAGGGCATTTCAAGGTCGTAGTTTCAAGGAGGTTGATGAAATCGTCTTGCTTAAATATAGACGAAAAATAGTGCTGCTTTGAAATGTTAAGATGACTTTGATTCTTTAACAACAAAGCTACTTTTTGAAGATATTTAACCCTTTGCATTCCACTCGAACAAAATACGTACCACAGCTAGATTCAAGTTGGGGAATATACGAATCAAATTTAAATTATACATTTTTGTATTTTTAGAGTTCACATCACAAAATTGAAATTGGTGTTGCTAGTTATTTGCATTAATAAAACTCTCGAAGTGCAAAAAGGGTTAATATTGTAATTTATAGTAATTGTTATTTTCGAAATACAGTTCATCAAGGGATGAGTAAGGTCTATAGGATTTTATTTGTTATTTTACTTTTATATAGAGAAGTGTTTACCTGGATTCCTGCAAGATGGCCAGCAAGTCGAGACTCTTCTCCCTTTTGACCGGTTGTTTCGCGGACGGTTCCGGGCTGGTGGGATAAAATTGCGCGCTCTGAGGGCTCCTGGGTACGTAGTAGGGACTGGTCGGATATCCTGGCGAACCCTCGTGCGAATAATTGGGGGACAGTGGCAATTCACCGCCCGCGCCGGGATACGGCGGACTCGAGTAAGTAATGGGCGAGCTAGGACGCGGCGATTGAGCTTCCTGTTTGATTTGCGTCGGTTTCAAGGTATTCTGGGCGCTCGCGGTGACATAATCGTCCGAAAGAAGGGATAAATCGAACTGGAATGTGCTGTAATCGAACGACGGCGAATAGCCGGCTGCAGAAGGCACCGTTTGTGGCATCTGAAAAAAGAGGACATTGACGTCGGTTAAACTTGTTTCTAAACTGGCGAGAGTTTGCTATAAATCGTGTTTCTCATCGGGAAACTTATACAGGGTGTTCGACCACCCCTGGGAAAAATTTTAATGGAAGATTCTAGAAGCCAAAATAAGACGAAAATCCAGAATATCAATTTCTTGATTGAGGCTTCGATAAAAAGTTATTAACAAAATTAAATTTAACAGATTCATTGACGAAAAATTATTTTTAGTTGCAGGGGGCAATTAGAATCATTTTTGGTGATTAGACATATTCCCGAAATTTTACGCACTTTCGAGAAAAAAATTCAGAAAGGTGGACAAATTTTTCGGCGAAATTAGAAAATTTCAAATCATTCTAAAAAAATTATTTTTAACTAAGGGGGTTAATTACAATCATTTTTTGTCATTAGACATACCTTCGAATTCCTACGCACTTTTGAGAGAAAAATTCAAGTAGGTGCCTAAATTTTTCGGCGAAAAAAAAATTTTTAATTGTTCTGGAAAAATTATTACTAGCTAGAGGGGTCAATTGCAATCAATTTTCGTCATTACACATATCCCCGAAATCCTATCCATTTTCGAGAAAAAAATTCGAGTATGTGCTTAAATTTTTCGGCGAAAAAAAAATTTCAAATCCTTCTGGAAAAATTATTTTCGGTTGCGGGGGTCAATTACAATAATTTTTGGTGAATAGACATACCCCCGAAATCCTGCGCATTTTCGAGGAAAAAATTCAGTTTGGGCGGAAGTTTAAACGTTAATAACTTTTTAACGAAGCCTCCATCAACAAATTGGTATTCTTGAGTTTCGTCTTATTTTGGCCTCTAGAATCTCCCATTAAAATTTTTCTCAGGGTTGGCCGAACTCTTTGTATACGAGATCGATCAAATTATAAGAAAAATTTGTATATTATTTTTATTCGTGGTTATGATACAATCGAGGCATTGTACGTAACAATTGAGACGTTTGATGGAAGAAGAAATAGAAATATCATTACAAGGAGCTATAGAGGACACTCCTCAGGATGTCTTTTCGCTCGTAAATTTCGTTTTCACGATAGTAATGCCAGTCACTAATTTTAAGCACAGATGGACCACTCTCAGATTCGATACGATTAAATAAATATTGCGTATTTGGACAATTTGAAAGGATAAACTAAATATTAGTGTACATGAAGAATTCCTATATTAAATAGTTCGTGTAAGTTTCAAATATCGAAGATTGCGTTGCCAGTTCGTGACATTAAAAAAACGCAAATTTCGAGGAAGAATAGTAGTTTCTGCAAGGACCAAGCATTTAACGAGAACGTTCGAGACTCTATTCAACGTTGCGCATTCCAGGCGATCCACAATTTACTTGGTCGTGTATGAGCGAAAAGATCTAGTCGAAATGATACACTTTCCTCGAGACTGCACCGATGGACCCAAGGGTCCATTTATCTTTCCGCGTGTTTATTGCCCGTCCCGCGCTTAAACTCGCGTCAGTTTGTTACGCTCCGTAAGTCACTTATGGCTCAGGGCGATCTCGAGCCCCATCTTCGAGGCTCGCGAGGCTCGCGAGGCCGCGATATCGTTCCGTCAAACGTCCGATTCGAACGTAAACGTCCCGATCACTCCCACATGGACGCGTTCGATCGCGGCCAGAGACCCTCCCGTACGTTTCCGGAATTCTCGAATCTCATTCTACGCGGGTGTCCACAGGAATAACAGTGGTACGATGCAACGAGAATTTATCAATTAAATCGATGTTAATTTTTAGCAGTCCTTCCATCCTCTCGTTTATTTTTTTCTCTAAATAAAGTTTAATCGAACGCACAAGTAGGTACGAGCACGAACATCGTTTCGATCCGGTACGAACGATCCTAAAATAGTGTCTCTGATTCTACAACGATGCTCATTAAACGCTAACAGCCTGCTATCCTTTTCTCCCGGTTCGTTCAGGCTGGAGTGGTTCGATGCTTTTAAATCAAAGAAACATCCGCCGAATGCAACGGTAATTAAAACTTCACCCTCCCCCTTTGGTGCATCGAACGAGGTCGAACGGGGTTACGATCGCGATATCGCGGTGTAGAAAATAGCGCAGCCTCGTTGGACCGGGTTAATAATAAATATTGGTTGAAATTTCCTAGTAAATAATCGGCTAACGACTCGCTATTATCTTCGGTCGCGTCTGAAAATAAGGGAAGCCAGAGCCAAAACGAAACACTTTCCCCGACTGGTTCACGGGGCCCCGGTTGGGTCGGTGTGGTGCACCTTAAGGGCCCATTTATCTTTCCGTGTGTTTATTGCCCGTCGTGTGTTTGACCTCGCATCAGTTTGTTACGCTTTGTAAGCCCATTACAACGTTCCCAGTGCATCTTCCCTACGCTCAGGCGGGGTCGCGTCTGACATTTTGACGTAGTGCCCCGCAAAGGTCGACGCGAAATAAACGATTATACCCATACACGAGCTCGCGGATTTGCACGCTTACTCTTTATATACCCACGTAGAGACACAATGCACCGTACCCCCACCGCGGCGACCGCGTACACCACGCTAACGGCGCGGACCGCGAGGGAGGAACAGAGATGAACCTAGGTGAACAGATACGGGGGAGAGCCACAAAAGAGAACCGCTTATTTCTCGACTTCTCCTAGCCTACCGCGAAAGGTCCCGGGGAGAAAGAGAATGTTTATCTATGCTGATGGGATCTGTGGACGATGGAATTTCTGCCCGAGCTTTCCTGAATCGCCTGGAAAAAGTACCCGGGGTGCTCTAACCCCCCTCTTCAAGAACACTCCCGGAAATCAACTTGCAAGCTGCTCGACGCGATGGGAACTTTCTATTTAAATTATACGAACGTTGCAATCTCCAAATGGGTACTTTCATTTTTCGATTCTTTGATCACAGCTTTTAAAATTGGGGCCTTTTTAGGGACGATGATTTCTATGCAATTTCAATCCTTGGAGCAATTTTTTAACGAAAGCAGAGAAAATCGATAGTTTGCAAGCTGCTAAATATGATGGAATTTGATATTTCGAATGTACCAGAAGTATGATTCTTATTTTTCGATTATTTGGAATAATTTCTACGCAATTTCAACCCTTACTCGTTAAACACTTAACTGTTAAAAATTGTTTAATGAAACCAGGGAAAATCGATAGTTTGCAAGCTGCTAAATACGATGCAATTTGATATTTCGAATGTATCAGAGTAATTCGATTTTTTAGAATAATTTCTACACAATTTCAACCCTTACTCGTTAAACACTTAACTGTTAAAAATTGTTTAATGAAACCGGGGAAAATAGCTAGTTTGCAAGCTGCTAAATATGATGGAATTTGATATTTCAGAAGTACCAGAAGAATGATTCTCATTTTTAGAATAATTTCTACGCAATTTCAACCCTTATTCGTTAAACACTGAACCGTTAAAAATTCTTGAATGAAACCAGGGAAAATCGATAGTTTGCAAGCTGCTAAATACGATGCAATTTGATATTTCGAATGTACCAGAGTAATTCGATTTTTTAGAATAATTTCTATACAATTTCAACCCTTATTCATTAAACACTTAACCGTTAGAAATTCTTTAATGAAACTAGGGAAAATCGCTAGTTTGCAAGCTATTAAATATGATACAATTTGATATTTCGAATGTACCAGAATAATTCGATTTTTTAGAATAATTTCTACACAATTTCAACCCTTATTCGTTAGACACTTAATCGTTAAAAAGTCTTTAATGAAACCAGGGAAAATTGCTAGTTTGCAAGCTGCTAAATATGATGGAATTTGATATTTCAGAAGTACCAGAAGAATGATTCTCATTTTTAGAATAATTTCTACGCAATTTCAACCCTTATTCGTTAAACACTGAACCGTTAAAAATTCTTGAATGAAACCAGGGAAAATCGATAGTTTGCAAGCTGCTAAATACGATGCAATTTGATATTTCGAATGTACCAGAGTAATTCGATTTTTTAGAATAATTTCTATACAATTTCAACCCTTATTCATTAAACACTTAACCGTTAGAAATTCTTTAATGAAACTAGGGAAAATCGCTAGTTTGCAAGCTATTAAATATGATACAATTTGATATTTCGAATGTACCAGAATAATTCGATTTTTTAGAATAATTTCTACACAATTTCAACCCTTATTCGTTAGACACTTAATCGTTAAAAAGTCTTTAATGAAACCAGGGAAAATCGCTAGTTTGCAAGCTGCTAAATACGATGCAATTTGATATTTCGAATGTACCAGAATAATTCGATTTTTTAGAATAATTTCTACACAATTTCAACCCTTACTCGTTAAACACTTAACTGTTAAAAATTGTTTAATGAAACCGGGGAAAATAGCTAGTTTGCAAGCTGCTAAATATGATGGAATTTGATATTTCAGAAGTACCAGAAGAATGATTCTCATTTTTAGAATAATTTCTACGCAATTTCAACCATTATTCGTTAAACACTGAACCGTTAAAAATTCTTGAATGAAACCAGGGAAAATCGATAGTTTGCAAGCTGCTAAATACGATGCAATTTGATATTTCGAATGTACCAGAGTAATTCGATTTTTTAGAATAATTTCTACACAATTTCAACCCTTACTCGTTAAACACTTAACTGTTAAAAATTGTTTAATGAAACCGGGGAAAATAGCTAGTTTGCAAGCTGCTAAATATGATGGAATTTGATATTTCAGAAGTACCAGAAGAATGATTCTCATTTTTAGAATAATTTCTACGCAATTTCAACCCTTATTCGTTAAACACTGAACCGTTAAAAATTCTTGAATGAAACCAGGGAAAATCGATAGTTTGCAAGCTGCTAAATACGATGCAATTTGATATTTCGAATGTACCAGAGTAATTCGATTTTTTAGAATAATTTCTATACAATTTCAACCCTTATTCATTAAACACTTAACCGTTAGAAATTCTTTAATGAAACTAGGGAAAATCGCTAGTTTGCAAGCTATTAAATATGATACAATT